GCCACCGCAGCCTCGACCCACTGGGCTCTGGCAATCCTTCCACCTCAGCCTTCCGAGTAGCCGGAATTACAGGCGTGCGCTACCCTGAAGTAAATTATTTGAACTTAAAAGAACATTCATTTGGATACCTAGTAGTAAATCCCTTCCCTTTCTGATAATAGACAAAAGAGTCAGAATAGTTAGAACCCAGGGCCTAACCAAAGCACCTGTTGGCTAATCAAACTGAGTTCAAATTGACTAAACTTGAACTTGTTATCCTGTCCTCTGAGCTCTAAAATGAAAAATTTGTCAAGAATCTTGAAACATGTTTTGTTTCTATTTATTTACTTGAGTCAAGGTCTCACTGTGTTACTCAGGCTGAAGTGCAGTGGCATGGTCTCGGCTCACCACAGCCTTGACCTCCTTGTGCTCAGTTGATCCTTCTACCTCAGCCTCCCAAGTAGCTGGGACTACAGCCGTACACTACCATGCCTGGCTTATTTTAAAAATTTATTAGCCGGGCTCGGTGGCTCAGCCTGTAATCCTGTGCCTTTGGGAGACTGAGATGAGTGGATTGCCAGAGCCCGCAGATTCGAGACCCGCCTGGGCAGCGAGACCTCATCTCTACAATAAATCAAAAAATCAGCCGGGCGTGGTAGCGCATGCCTGTAATTCCGGCTACTTGGAAGGCTGAGGCGGAAGGATCGCCGGAGCCCAGCAGGTCAAGGCTGCGGTGGCCAGGAGCGGCCACTGCACTCCAGTCTGGGCGACAGAGTGAGACTCCAACTCAAAAAATAAATAAATAAATAAATAAACACTAATGAAACTTGTGACATTTTAAACTTATCAAATATATGTTTGCAAATTATTTTTGCTTTCTTTTCCACTAAATTATTCAATGTTGGTGAGCACATGGAGAAAAGAAATTTTCATAAACCAATGAACTGTCATATGTCTGTTAGTATAAATTTGGGGGCTCTCAATTGGCCACAGTTATCAAAAGGCTTTAAACAAAGTGTAGGCCCTGTGTCCGTGAATTTCATTTTCAGAGATCCATCCTAAGGAACTAATTGAAGCCTTAGACAAAGATTAAAGTGCATGACTACCAACAACATCATTAATTCATACAATGGAAAAAATCCCAAACCTACTCAATGCCACGAATGGGGGGATCATTAATAGATTGCTTCTCACCCGGACTCGGTGGCTCACCCTGTAATCCTGCGCCTTTGGGAG